TATCTTTATTTCTTGTATCTCTGTCAGCTTGATGTCATAATTAATTTGATCAGTTTATGGTAACATTTCTCGAGCTATTTATTTTTTAAAAAGTTAATAATACTTTTATTTCGTGTGTTAATTAATTGTTTCATCCTTAATGTAGCTTACTTTTACTCTAACCTAACCTATTTTTAACCTATTTTACCCTATTCTGCCTTACCTATCTTAGACTATCCCGTGACATAACTTAAATCACCTTGTCTTTCTGTTATGTTCTATCCTATTTCTATTCTATTTCTGTCCTATCCTTTTCTATTATCTATTATTATGCTCTATCTTGTTGCATTCTATTTCTCTCCTATCCCATGTTATCTTGGGTTATGTCCTTTCCTATTCTCTTCTATCTATGCTCTATCCTATTCTCTCCTATGTTATTATGTCCCATTTCTTCGATTTCACTATTTTATTCTATCCAAACGCAAAGTTATTAAATCGTATCTTATTCTACCTATCTTATCCAATCCAAGCACAAACCCATTTTTTCCTATCCTATTTTAAACTCAACAGTCTTATCTTAATCCAAATTTATTTTACTTATCAGTTTTTAACTATCTTTTTTTTTCTGTCTTTTCACACGTTCTTTGTACAATTTTCTATTCTATACTTTATTAACATCGAGGGAAAAAGTCGGTTATTAATACCTTTTAAATCTCTGTTGCCTTTGGATTCAATATGTAACGGTCTTACTTCCTCAACAACGAGTGAACTTTCGTTTTGTTTTACTCTGTTATCACTTCATAAGTACGTATGGGCTATTTTGCAAACGATATTAGTAGAACATTATGCTCTAATGACATGGTTGCCCTAGTAGAAAAGGCTATAGCAAATGTTTACTTGAGAAGCGTTAAGTAAACAAGTCCCTCTTTTTCTCTAAAATAGTGCCTTGGTGTAAACAATCGTATTCTAAAGTTAAAATATAGAACTCCCATCTGGTCTTCGGTTTTACGGATCTCCTTATGTTAACGTTAGAGAGAGGAAATGATTACTATAATGATAAACATTACCTCTGGTCCTATTATGTTCCCCAATGCTGATAACGGCCTTGTATTCATAAAACAGCTTTCATAAATCGTTTCATAGCAATACTTGTGTCATATTGATGACTTGGATAATGCTGATAATAGTAATGAGTTCTTTTGTTGTTTTTTAGAGACGTGATTTTCTCTTCTTTCTTACTTTCTTCTCTCTCCCTCCTTCAAAGTCCCTTCCCCCTCTTCACTGTCCCCTCGCCCGAAAGCTTTCTTATAGTTCTTTTCCGACTTGCACAGCTCTTAACAAACCCAGGCTGTCCCTCCCCTCTCCTCCCTCCCCCCTCTCCCCCGTACCTTCCTTCCTAGAGCCGAAAATAGGAGTAATATTACTCGACCAAACAAAACCAGGGGCGTTACTACACTCACTGGTCTTCGTGTGGGTATAGCCTTTAACAAATAGGTCTCCCACCTGTCATATTTTCTGCTTTTTTGTTTAATCCTCTCTCTCTCTCTCTCTCATATTTTTTTCTTCTTTTAAATCACATATCAACGTCACTGTTTAGATTCCCGTAGTCTAGTGGGTCCACTAAATAATATTCAAATCACGGCGTCGCGTTTTCTAAAGCCTGAACATACCGTACAATGTCACCCTCCCCCCCCCCTCTTTCAAAACATCCAGGCTGACGAAAGGTGATCGTATTTCCCGGCGCACAGGATGTTTGGGACGCCCAGCCTTCCGCCAAGTAAAACACAGCCTACTTTTAGGGCCTTGTGTTTTGCCGTCATCTCCATGGGGTCGTTAGTGTGAAAGAAGGTCGCAAAGACAAAGGCTTTACAGAGAGACCCCTTTCTTTTTTTGGCAGCTTTAATAAAAAAAAAAAAAAGGAAAAGAAAAAGAGGAAAAAAAATATATATCATTGAGTTGTATAGATTCCCTTTTTTTCTTTTTCATCGTAGCACATAAATCGAGGTTCTTGGTCTTACCTGATGAAGGAGAATGGAAACAGATTTTTGCTCCTAAAACAGTTTAACCCTCTTCCCTGTAGTATTTTATGGACATTAGATATTCAAAGACACCAAATGGTAACTCGTGATGTACAAATTATAATTACAAACTATAATAACGAATGAATTCAATCACTGTATTCCTTAATTAACCGGAAATATCTCAAAACTCTGCATAAGATTACACGAAACCACGGGGAAACCTCGTGGATTCGACATTATCCATCATCCGTCAAATCGACAAAAAAAATAAAAATAAATAAAAAAAAAAAAAGAACCTAAAGAAAAAAAATCATCACATCCAGACAACTTACGATGATGCTGTCATTCATCCTGAAGGTGTTGGTAGGATCTTCGAGCGAGGAGATGACACTAGCCACGAAGGGCTCAGGCAGACGTCTGGTTTAGCTGGTGCCTGGGAACCGACTCCGAACTCGCCTCGAAGTGCCTACGTCACAACGGAAATAATAACCTCTTCCTCC